TTTTATCATTTCTTTTTGTTCTACTGTCTGAGTGATTTTATTTTTTCTTTTTTTAAATTTTCTTAATGTTTACTTATTTTTGAAAGACAGAGTGTGAGTGGGGGAGGGGCAGAGAGAGACAGGGAGACACAGAATCTGAAGCAGGCTCCAGGCTCCAAGCCATCAGCATAGAGCCTGACGCGGGGCTTGAACCCACAAGCTGTGAGATCGTCACCTGAGTCAAAGTTGGACACTTAGCCAACTGAGCCACCCAGGCGCCCCTGGGTAATTTTCTTATCTTTATCTTTCTGCCTTTCTCTTACATTTTCATTCTTCTGTCATTTTTTAAAGTTCCAAGATCATATTTTCATTCTCTAAATACTTTTTACAAGTGTTCTTTTCTGTTTTATAGGTGCAAGTTCTTCATTTTTCTGATAATATTGATAATTTTTTATGGACATAAAACTTGCATACAGTAAAATTCTTTTTGGCGTGTAGTCCTGTGAATTTGGGCAAACATATAGAGTCATGTAACCATCACCATAATTACGATATAGAACACTTCCCTCACCTCTCAAAACTTGCAGTCATTCTCTCTTCATTCCCAGCCTCTCCCAACTCTTACCTGTTTTCTATCTCTATCCTTTGTCTTTTCAAGAATGTCATATTGATGGAATTGTAATGTAGTTTACCTGTCTTATATCTGTTTGCTCTGAGTTTTTTTTTCATGTTTGCCTTGGTCTCTTTCTTTCCTGATATAGGTTTTCCCTATATCTTGCTGATTTTTCGACTGTTCTTTTATACAATAGGGGATGGACATTTAAAAAGCTGATTAGAGGGGTGCCTGGGTGGTTCACTTGGTTAGTGTCTGACTTTCGCTCGGGTCATGATCTCACAGTTTGTGAGTTCAAGCCCCATGTCTGACTCTGTGCTGACAGCTCAGAGCCTGGAGCCTGCTTCAGATTCTGTGTCTCCCTGTCTCTCTGCCCCTCTCCCTTTCATGCTCTATCTCTCTCAAAAATAAATAAACATTAGAAAAAAATAAAAAAAAAATAAAAAGCTGATTAGAAACTGTATGCATGGGTCGAGCTTTGTCATGGGCTGAAGTTGTCCCCCTCAATTTATACCTTGAAGTCCTAATCCCCCACATCTCAGACTGTTTTTGGAAATAGTTCCCTTAAAGAGATACTTACATTAAAATGAGGCTATTTGGGTGGGTCTTTACTGGTTGGTGTCTTTATAAGAAGAGGTTAGAACATAGAGATATCAGGGATGTAGTGCAAAGAGGGATGACCCTGTGAAGAGGCAGCAAGAAGATGGCCATCTGCAAATGAAGGAGAGAGGTTTCAGGAGAAACTAAACTTGCTGATACCTTGATCTTGGACTTCTAGTCTCTAGAACTATGAAAAAATAATTCCTATTGTTGAAGGCACTCAGGCTATGGTATTTTGTTATGGCAGCTCCAGAACACTACAATAAGGTTTCTTGATTGACAAGTTTCAATGTCGGGTGATATGATATGGCTGGACTTTTATGTGTCAATGACTACTATCAGTATTTTTAGTTATTTTCTCTTGGATTGATAAAATTCTTTTCCAAAGAGGAATTTTCAAGTAAAGCTATTTGACATGGCAGCTAGAGAAGAAAGGGATTTGGAGACTTATGGAGTGGAGAAGATTTGCAATAGCTGTTTTGGGAAGAGGTGGGTTGAGCAATAGGTTGTTGGGTAACAATGGATTTGAAGTTAGGCAACTTGATTTTATAGGGGACAAAACTCAATAGCCTCTCTTCATCAGCTTGATGTTTATGTTGCAGTGTAAGTGACAAGGATGGTAAGGGTGCTTGAAGCAATGTTGTGTAGGCTCCTTAAGGAACTGAATTAAACATGGGCACAAGTTTCAAGTAGATGTTTATTTATTTTTAAAACATTTATTTATTTACTTATTTGTAGGGGAGGGAGCATGAGTGGGGGAGGGGGAGAGAGGGGGAATCCCATGCAGGTTCTGCACATTCAGCACAGAGCCCAACTTGGGGCTTGATCTCACAAACCTCAACATCATGACTGGAGCCCAAATCAAGAGTCTGATGCTCAACTGACTGAGCTACCCAGATGCCCCACAAGCAGATGTTTACTAGAAGAGGTATGATAATGGCCAATAAACATGAAAATGTGCTCAATGTCACTTGTCATCACAGCAATACAAATTGAAACCACTATGAGTGTATTACCCAGTGTCCAAGATGGCTGCAATGATTCTTACCTCCTTATACACCCTTGTGTATGGAGTACTCCCTAATACTGCACCAGAGTTTGGCCTATGTGACTAAGAGCATATGGTAGCTGTGATAATATGTCACATATGAGATTAGGTTATAAACACTGCAGCATCCATCTTGGCACCAAGAAACCCCACCTGTAATATTGCTGCAATGGGACTGTAGTTTTTTCACTGTGTTCCATTATGGCAATCTATTAATGCATTGTGGCAAAATGAGGATTTTTTTTCCTCCTCATCTTTCTGTCCTTTCTTTCCCTCCACAAACATTTTTTAAATGGTATTTTTAAAGTTTACTTATTTTGAGAGGGAGGGAGGGGCAGAGTGAGGGGAAGAGAGAGAGACTCCCAAGCAGGCTCCGTGGTGTCAGCGCAGAGCCCAACACAGGGCTTGAACCCACGAACTGCGAGACCATGACTTGAGCCAAAATCAAGAGTTGGAGGCTTAACCGAATGGACCATCCAGGTGCCCCTTTAATGTTTCTTTTTTTAATGTTTATTTTTGAGAGAGAGAGGGGCAGAGAGAGAGGGGGACAGAGGATCCAAAGTGGGCTCTGAGCTGACAGCAGAGAGCTTGATGCAGGGCTCAAACTCACTAACTGTGAGATCATGACCTGAGCTGAAGTATGATGCTTAACTGACTGAACCACCCAGGAGCTCCAGCAATTTCTTATTTTAAAAGAATGAATGGGCTGATTTCAAGGAGCAAGTGCCCACTATATGGAATTTCAATGTTCCTTACCAGAACATTGAGGTAATGTCCTCTTAGCTGAGGACACTCCTAGCTAAGAATTGTTGTGTCTCTTGTGATCCTTCTCAAGACTATAATGATATGTGTGTAAATGTGTGGTGTATGTGTAAATCTGTAACTCTTATTCTTAATCCACTGGTGATGGAGATGCATTAAGATTTTTAAAAAAATGTATTGACGTGAGGAACTCCCAATCATTGCTGGTGGGAATGCAAAACGGTACAGCTACTTTGGAAGGTGGGGTGGAAAACGAAACATACTCTTAACACACTTTTCAGTAATCAGCACTTCTTGAGAATTACCCAAATGAATTGAAAACTTAATGTCCACACAAAAACCTGCACACAATGTTTTAGCAGCTTTCTTTGTAACCACCAAACCTGGGAAGCAACCAAGGTGCCCTTTAGTAGGTGAATGGATAAATAAACTGGTCTATCAAGGTAATGGAATTTCATTCAGCACTGAAAAGAAATGATCTGTCAAGCCACAGAGGAAACTTAAATGAATATTATTGCGTGAAAGAAGCCAATCTGAAAAGGCTACTACTGTATGATTCCAACCATATGACATTCTGGAAAAGGCAAACTGTGGATACAGTAAAAAGATTGGATTACAGGAGTTTGAGGTGGGGAGGAAGGGATGAATAGGCAGAGCAGAGAGGATTTTTAGGGCAGTGAAAGTATTCTGTGTATTATAATGTTTGATACACGCCATTATGCATTTGTCTAAACCCATAAAATGTACGAGAGCAAGAGTGAACTCTAAAGTATGCAATAGTGATGTGTCAGGGTAACTTTGTCAGTTGTGAAAAATGTGTCACTCTGGTGAGGGATGTTCAAAATGGGCAATGTTGGGCACATGTGGGGAAAAGAAGTACGTGAGAATTCTTTGTAATTTCTGCTCAGTTTTGCTGTGAATCTAAAAACTTCTCTAAAAAAGTCTATTTAAAAAATGTATTGAACCAGGGGCGCCTGGGTGGCGCAGTCGGTTAAGCGTCCGACTTCATCCAGGTCACGATCTCGCGATCCGTGGGTTCGAGCCCCGCGTCAGGCTCTGGGCTGATGGCTCAGAGCCTGGAGCCTGTTTCCGATTCTGTGTCTCTCTCTCTCTCGGCCCCTCCCCCTTTCATGCTCTGTCTCTCTCTGTCCCAAAAATAAATAAAAAAAAAAAACGTTGAAAAGAAAATAAATAAAAAATGTATTGAACCAGTAGTTCACCATTTTTCCCCATAAATTCAGCTTGATCTCAGTCATCATGATCTAAACTTTGTAAGCCATTTGGCTAGAATTTGACTTTGTGATTTAGTATTGATGTTAAATATTTTTAGTGAATTAATGATACAATTATTGACCTATCTGCTAATTTTTATAGCTGGTGGGTGAAGAGAAAAAGGAAATACACATATTTTTTATATGTAAATGTTTTCTGTAAATAAATTATTTAATAAACTTTAAAAATTCATATTTTCTCCCTGTCTGAAGTGTAGAATAAATATGTGGAGGTCTTTGTTGTTCTTTTTTAGTTGTTAGTAATTTTTTGTTGTTTAGTTCACTTTTTATTTATTTTTTATGACTTTATTTTTTTTTATAGCTGTTTCAGGTTTACAGCAAAATTGAGAGGAAGGTACAGAGATTTCCCATATACCCCTTGCCTACACACACCTCCATTATCCATATCCCTCCACCAGAGTATAATTTGTTACAAACTGTATTGACACAGTGCCCTAAAAATCCTTATTTTTCATTAGACAAATTATCTTAGGTGTAACTGTGGACTTTATTAATAGGGTATTAGAGGTTGTAATTTTTACAGATTGACTTAACTGGATCAGGTCAAAAGTTTCTGTGTTACATATAAAGCAGAAATATAGTAAAGGAAAAAAGTATAGTTTTGGTAGTAATAGAGATTACTTAAAACAGAATATTAACAATTTTGCACTTTTCCTTCTGAAAATTCGTCATCAATGCTCTTAAAATATTTTCTGTGTTTTGCCAGATACTGACAATATGAAGCCACTGGAGGGTGTAAAAATTCTGGATCTAACAAGGTTTGTATTGGTTTATCTATGTTTTGGTGATTGAATTTTCCCTTCTTTCAAAAAAACATTCATTCATTTTTGGGTTTTAATGCTTACTATTAAAATTTTAGAAAAGAAAATTAAAAAAATGGTATAATTTTATCATTCTAAGAGATAATTAGTATAATATTTGCATTTTTTTCAATCTGCATATTTATATATTATTTTTAAAGACAAAAATTAGAACCATACTGAAATTATAGTTTTTACCCACATTTAAAAGATAATGTTATATTCTGAGTATTTTTCCATGTCATTAAAAATTCAACAAAAATGTAAGATGATATTTTATTATATGGTTGTCACATAATTACTCATCCCCCAAGATTTCACTATTATGAATTAGGCTTCCTTCCTGATGTACAATTCCTTGTTCATCAATCTTTGCCTCAGGAAATCTTAGGATTTCTTCCTCAGGATAGAATGCTGAAAGTGGAATTACTGCATCAGTATACTTTTTAAAGCTTTTAATACATAAGGTCAAATTGCAATTCTGAACAGTTTTAACAATTTTAAATCTTGCTAGCATTATATGAGCTTGTCTGTGTTAATGGATTATTAAGAAAAGAATTAATATAAACATCTTCAAGGTGGTGATTACTTGTCATTGTTAATATTGTAGAGTACTGGCGGGACCTTTTGCTACTATGAATTTAGGAGATCTTGGAGCAGAAGTTATAAAAGTGGAAAGACCAGGTAAAGCTATTACTCCCTTTAAAACATAGAAACATGAAAAAAAAAATAATTAAAAAAAAAAAACATAAGAAACAGACTAATACAGTTTTTTTAAAGATTTTATTTATTATTATGATTATTTTTAAAAGTTTATTCTTTTTTGATAGAGAGAAGGAGAGAGAGAGAGAGAGAGAGAGAGAGAGACAGACAGAGCTTGAGCAGGGGAGGGGCAGAGAGGGAGAAACAATCTGTAGCAGGCTCCTGGCTTTGAGCTGTCAGCACAGAGCCATGAGATCATGACCTGAGCGGAAGTCGGATGCATAACTAAATGAGCCACCGAGGTGCCCCTAGGATTTTATTTTTAAGTAACCTCTATATCTAGCATGGGGCTTGTACTCACGACCCTGAGATCAAGCCTCTCATGCTCTTTTGACTGAGCAAGCCAGGCGCTGCAAACTAATGTTTTTTGTTGTTGTTGTTTTTTGTTTTTAAGTGTATTTATTTATTTTGAGAGAGCTCAAGCAGGGGAGGGGCAGAGAGAGAGATAGAGAGAGAGATAATCCCAAGCCGGCTCTGTGCTGTCAGAATGGAGCCCAACTCGGGAGCTGGATGCTTAATCAACTGAGCCACCCAAGCACTCTAATAACAGTTTTTAACTGGTTTTTGAAATATCCATGTACCTATATGTGGAATGAGGAGAGAATTGACTGAAATGTTTGTTTTTTTTCCTCCATTCCTTACTTTCCTCTGAACCTATACTAATGATTTCCTTTCACTTTTTTAAAGTGTTTTTTAAATTTTATTTTTGAAAGAGAGAGAGAGCGTGCGAGCTTGTGCCCATGTGCACATGACCAGGGGGTGGGGGTGGGGAGAAGGGCAGAGAGAGGGAGACAGGGTCCGAACCAGGCTCCGCACTATCAGCACAGAGCCTGAAATGGGGCTGGAACCCACGAACTGCGAGATCATGTCATGAGCCGAAGACAGGCACCCCTCTTTTTACTTTTTATAAGTGCCAAGGGCTAAGGCTTAAGTTGGGTCCTTCACACACACCTGAAAGCCTCTGGTAGAAACTGAGATGCAGCTCGTAGTAACAGATGCTAACACTTGTCAGAGTACCATATACAGTTCTAAGCACTTTGCCTATATTAATTTATTTAATCTCTACAACAGCCTTATGGGTTGCTGTTATTATTCCTCGATTACAAATGAAAAGACAGGGGTCCTGGGTAGCTCAGTTGGTTGAGTGACTCTTGGTTTTGGCTCAGGTCATGATCTCATAGTTCGTGGGATGGAGCACTGAGTCAGGCTCTGTGCTGACAGCATGGAGTCTGTTTGGGATTCTTTCTCTCTCTCTCTCTCTGCCCATCTCTGGTGCCTGCTCTCTCTCTTTCTCTTTCTCTCAAAATAAATTTTAAAAAAGTTAAAAAAATAAATGAAAAGACAGAGACAAAGGGAGATAAAGCAGTTTGTCCAAAGTCACACAGGTAATAAGGAATATCCAGGCGCTCAGGTCTGGTCCTGTCCCTCCCTAGCCCCATACAAACCTTACTGTTGAGACTGAATTTAGAGTCGACCCTGCCACATTCCCTCGCTGTGGGATGAAGGGAACGCGAGGAGGAGGGAGGGTAAAAGGGTCTTCCCTTTTAGCACACACAAGAAGGAGAGAGGGAAAGGAATCCAAGTCCTTCCAAAAGGAACCCTGATACTCCAATCCAAGTCATTCTTTTCTCTTTCTAGTAAAAGAAACATTTTCTCATTATATGATTTTCAAGATTTTGAGCAAGAAACACTGAACCTGAGATCAATTCTTTGTATTTGCTTTTCATCTGACATCTTTCCTATTTTTTCTTTCCCCTTTGTCCACCAGATAAACCTATTCTGTGTACATAATTCTCACTTTTATTTGGTGCTTTCTCAGTATTTTGGTGTTGAGCTCATGCTGGTATTGAAAGTGTCATGTTGTATGCTCTTTCTCTCCTGCAAGCACTTGAAGGGCACAGTCCGTATTCTCCATATCCTCTACATCATCCTATTGTTTTGGAAGGTTTTAAAAGTTAGCATTATTATTTGTTCTTCAACATCGGATCCATATGGATCTGGAACAGAATTACTAAATCAGTGAAAATGGTCTACCCTTGAATAGTGTGAGTATATCTGTAACACCATAAGAGTCGAGTTTATTACATCACCTTATTAATTTCCCATAAGTGATTAAATGCCATAAAATAGAATACTTGGTGTGGAAGATTCATCTTCCTGATAAATAGATTTCTTAGGAGGCTGAAGCAAATTAGCAGAAGATTCTCTGATCAGCATGGGGAATATTACATATTATTCTGTTGTATAATCGGACCCTGTGTTTATCAGGCTCCAGGTGGTAGCTCCTGCTTTCAGGGATAATGCTTCAATTATCTAGATAGTGTTGTTCACCACTTTTGGTCATTGCTGGCTACATGCTGGCTACATGTTTACTTTCTAGCTGAATATCTGTTTTTTCTTTTCCACATTTCATAAAACTTTAATTTCCACACTGTTATGCAATTTCAACACGACAGCACTTTGTAATTTTAGCTGTTAGGTCTTCTAATCCTAGGTAGAGCATCTGATCTTCTCTCTCTTGCTATTTCAGTTGATCACTGGTCTACATATTTGTATTTATATTAATTTTAGAGATCATTATCCCCTGTTTACGTGGGCCTTATTTCTCCTTTGTACTTTTTCGGTTTTTCAGTGGGGGGCACCTTCCTTGTGTAGGCATTCCACAGTCCTACACTTGGTAGCAAGCTTTGCTGCTAGCAGGTAGGTGTTCATTGCTTTTTGCCTGACTGATTACTCTCTTTCCCTTAACCCTTCTGCCCAATGCATTTTATTGTTCATATTGTGTATTTAACAGTTTTGGGTTTTTGAGGTAGTTGTTCAACCCAGATCTGAGGCGAAGTGGCTTGGCAGAGTTATCAAAGTTCAGTAGAGAACTAGCCTTTTCTCATGTCTGCTTCTCCTGTTCTTTAATTACATAGAATTGGTTACAGTTTTGGGACTTGGGACTTGGACTATTCTTATTTTTATAATCAAAGAGCAAATAAATTTTCTTCTCCTTCTTTCTGTAGAGTTACCTTAGTCTAACCTAGCTGAGTGAAGTGGACAGTGTAGGGCAGCAGATGATGTGACTGGGGTTCCTGGATTATCCCCTGTAGGCAGGGATATGAAGGCAGGGGTGTTGATCTTTTGGTCACTGCTGTGTCTGCTCTGCATAGAGCAGTGTCTGTGACACAGTTGGTACCCAATAAATACTTGCTGAGTGTCTTGAATGTGTTGAAATATCATTTAAGAAAGGCAGTCTGAAATTTTATATGAGATCTCCAGATTTTGAAATCATGGCAGCTAGTTAAAAACTATAAATTATGTGTGGGTCAAATAAGACATCTCTCAAACTGCCAGTTTTCCCAGTTTGTAACCTTTAGCCCTTATATCCTGTCATGTGCCATCAGTGCTGATTCTTTTTTTTTTTTTTTAAATGTTTACTTATTTTTGAGAGAGAGAGCGTGAAAGCAGGGGAGGGGCAGAGAGAAGGGGAGACACAGAATCCAGAGTAGGCTCCCAACCGTGAGATCATGACCTGAGCGGAAGTCGGATGCTTAACCAACTAAGCCACCTGGCGCGCCCATCAGCAGTGATTCTTTAGAGAGGCCATTGATCCTCTCCAAAGCCCTGGATACTTCCCAAAGACAGATGGGGCAGGAAAGCCCTGTAGGCCTTCAATTTAGATTCCTGACAATATCTCCACCTGAGATGAATGTGAACATTTAAAATTATTTAATTTTAGCCTTATGTTGGCATTGCTTTATTAAAAAAAATTAATATATTGGGAGCCTTAAAAAAATGGAAGTGGCTGGATTTTCTCTTGACTCTGTGAGGTCCTGTCTGATCCTGAAGGTCCAGATTCACACATACCTTTTCCATGAAGCCTCTAATTGGTTTATTACTAGAAGATTGCCTTTCTGGGATCTTGTAGTTTTATTTTTCCCCTGGTGTTTTGGGCATGCCATTCCTTTTGATACTTACCACTGATTGCTTTGTGTTGTTATTGGTTCATCTCCAGTTAGAACTAATGCTTCTTTTCTCCTCTGGCCTGTGTCCTCTCTTTCTCTTATGAGGTTTGTCTTCCTTCCTTCCTTCCTTCCTTCCTTCCTTCCTTCCATCCTTCCTTCCTTCACAAGTCTGTTCTTTGGCCTTTGTTTTGTTTTCCAAAAGGCTGTATTTGCTTTTCTTGATTAGTTTCAGTGGGTAAAGTCTACTGGGCCAATAGATTAATTATATCATTTAGATGAGATCAGAATTTAATTTTTTTTTTCCAACGTTTTATTTATTTTTGGGACAGAGAGAGACAGAGCATGAACGGGCGAGGGGCAGAGAGAGAGGGAGACACAGAATCGGAAACAGGCTCCAGGCTCTGAGCCATCAGCCCAGAGCCTGACGCGGGGCTCGAACTCACGGACCGCGAGATCGTGACCTGGCTGAAGTCGGACGCCTAACCGACTGCGCCACCCAGGCGCCCCAAAATTTAAACTTTAATTCATTCTCAAGTTCTCTCTTCTTGGGGGCTAGAGATAAATACTTTAACTGTAATTACCTATATGATTAGTTTCTAATATCAATATTTAATCAGACTTTATAAAATTCTTAAGTGATACTATTTTGTGCCATTTAATCCTTGATTCATTTTCTGAGCTCTGTCTATGTTGTCAGTGGCTTTTTGTGCAAAGGAAACTTTTTTTCTGTAACTCTACAGTGTTGTCTTTGAATCTAACACAAACATATGACTTGAAGTAGATGTTCAGAAGAAAACACCCTATATTTTGATGGTTTTAAACTTTTACTTTGTATGGGGCGCCTGGGTGGCGCAGTTGGTTAAGCGTCCGACTT